TTTTGTTGTTGTTTTGCTATTGGTGTTATGGCTGACAATGGCCGTTGCGGGTGAATGTACGAGCGAAACAGACCTGTGTGCGTGTTTCGATTACTGGGAGAACTGCTGCCCTTACTGCTGTTGCTGATGGTGGTGTCGTTGCTGTTGTCGTTGTTGTAGCTGCTGTAGTGGTGGTGGTGGTGGTGGTGCGGTGGTAGTGATGCTCGTAGTGCTGTTGCTGCTAATGCCATTGCTGCTGGGTGTTATTGTTTGCATGATGGTTAGTTGTCTGTGTTTGTGAAAGTATCGGTCGATGTCTGTCTCGTGTATGTATCTGTCTGTGTATTGGTGTCTATGTACATCTCTAGATGTATATGTGCGTTCAGCAGAAAAAGCTTAGCAGAAAAAAAACTGAAATAAAAAATAAAAAATAAAAGAAAAAGAAAAAATATCGGCGGTGAGCCAATCAACATTTATTGAACACCCTTTTCTTCGCTCAAAACCTTTAGGGCTTCTGCATTACTATCTAGCCAACACTATTTTAACTGAATCTATACCCATCTGGTGCCGCAAATAACCTCCAAAGCTAAAATGTCCTTTTCATTTTGGCAAACATTGTTCCATCACCAATCTATCCAATGGCTCCAAACGTAAACCGCCAGCACCCCCAGCACCAGCATCGCCAACACAACCACCACGACCACTACTACCACTCCACTACCACCATCCTCCATCTCCTCCTCCTCCACCACCATCATCATCATCATCATCATCATCATCATCATCATCCCGTCATCATCATCACCATCATCATCATCATCACCATCATCATCATCACCATCATCATCATCATCATCACCATCTCATCATCATCATCATCATCATCATCATCATCATCATCATCATAACCAGCAGCAGCAACGGCAGCAGCACGTCCACCACCGCCACCAGCAAAAACTCTTCCTGCGCAGTAGTCCCACTACTCTCCTCTTCTCCAACCCTCCGTTCTCCACCGCTACTCCTAGCCTCCTCTTTCGCTCTCTTCCTGATATTCACATCATAGAATTACCACTGTTACAACTATTACTGCCTGTGCTGTGAACACTAACATCATCAAGTAACCCACCAGTGGGATACTTCCCCTATTTATCCACGGAGAAGACAAAAAAAAATGAGGGAAGTGAACGAATAAACAAACAAAAAATAAACAGATAAACAAACAGTAAAAAAGCACTCGTAGCCTTCTTTTTTTCTTCAATTCCATCTCGTCTTAAAATCTATTCGCATTCTCCCGCCCCTCAGAACTTTCCTCAACGGCAGCACATACTGCACACGAATATGTACACTTAGACACACAAATCAAACAAACTACCATTTATTAAATCATCGCAATTTTTTTCATCCTTCCCATCAGCCAAAATTTCTGACAACAAGAAAGTAAGGAACAGCTAAATTTTTTCAACACACCGGAATCATCCTTATATATCAGAAGTTCATAGTTCCAGCAATATTATAATAAAGTCAGCACAATCGCGTCACTTCCAAAAAATCGATTTTTCTTGTTATATCATTTTGAAGCCCATTCCTCAGGAAGTAATAAGAGACGACTATACAGCTTAACAAATACTGAAAGCTAAAGAGAAACAACGACTACTTGAGGCCCTACAACAAAATTCAAAAGAAAATCTTTTTCATTTTGGATTTAACTAGTGCAATACCAAGCCAATGGCAGTCGTAAACCGTTATAAATGAGGAGAAATTGCAGTAAAAAATCAATGCAGGTTGACCGAAAAAGCTTTTGCGGAACTATTCGTAAGAAATTTCTAAAGACCTACTACAAAAAAAATTTTCTGAAAAATAAAGCCAAAGTTAAGAAGGAGTTGAATGTCTCCAAACAAACCAGTTTTTAGTGAACGAGAATGACAGCAAAAAAAAAAATCCCAACTTGCTCGATACTAACTCTATTATTTGAAAAGTAAAAAGTATTTTGTTCTCTATACTCCTAAAAGATGACGGCAACTGCACGAGCAGTGTACCATCAGTATACCTAATTCCTAAATGAACATAAGCCCAGTAAGAGCACAAATATCCATTGAACAGCCAAGAAAACCTCGTATAAAACGATTCAAAAAAAAAAAAAAAAAAA